CCTCGCCCCCGCCCTGCTGCCCCTGGCAGTGCCCCTCGCCCCCGCCCTGCCGCCCCTGGCAGTGCCCCTCGCCCCCGCCCCGCTGCCCCTGAGCAGGGTGAGCAGAAGCACTGGCCTGGTTTTGCTTGCCAGCAGCCCCCCCAGCCCTGAGCTTTGCTGCCAGAGGGCTCTGGCTCCTGCCCACTGCCACAGGAGGGGGCAGCTGCTGGGTTCCTGATGCAGAGATGGGTGGGGGAGCCAGGCTGGGCTCTCTGCTCTGGCCTGGGCAGTGCTGCTCACAACCTGGTCTTGCTGAATTGCAACAGGCCCTGTCCAGAGCCCCCACCTACCCCCTCAGGCTCCCTGCAGCCCCTGCCCTCGGCCTGGCACAGTCCCGGCCTCCCCTCAGTGTGGGGGAAGGGGGCTGTCTGCCTGCCTTGACCTCGTTGCTTCAGCTCCTGCTATTTTGGCACGGCCTTGCACACGTACACATGGCCATGCACGGCCTTGTACACCCACGCACGGCCTTGCACACGTACACATGGCCATGCACGGCCTTGTACACCCACGCACGGCCTTGCACACGTACACATGGCCATGCACGGCCTTGTACACCCACGCACGGCCTTGCACACGTACACATGGCCATGCACGGCCTTGTACACCCACGCACGGCCTTGCACACGTACACATGGCCATGCACGGCCTTGTACACCCACGCACGGCCTTGCACACGTACACATGGCCATGCACGGCCTTGTACACCCACGCACGGCCTTGCACACGTACACATGGCCATGCACGGCCTTGTACACCCACGCACGGCCTTGCACACGTACACATGGCCATGCACGGCCTTGTACACCCACGCACGGCCTTGCACACGTACACATGGCCATGCACGGCCTTGTACACCCACGCACGGCCTTGCACACGTACACATGGCCATGCACGGCCTTGTACACCCACGCACGGCCTTGCACACGTACACATGGCCATGCACGGCCTTGTACACCCACGCACGGCCTTGCACACGTACACATGGCCATGCACGGCCTTGTACACCCAGGCACATCCCAGTACACACATGCCCAGCTACATCCATTCACACACCTGATTCCACCCACCTGTGCACATCTCAGTGCACCCGCCTAGCGGGAAGGGGGCAGTGAGGGGTCAGAGCTGGACCCAGGAAGGATGGGTACAGACAGCCCCCAGGGGAAGCTGGTAACGATGGGCCAGACTAGGAGCCCTTAAGAAGCAGGGGGCTGGTGCTGAGCCCCTTGGAGAAGGGGAGGCCCCAATGTGGTCAGGGGCTGCAGGGGTCCCTGGACTGGAGTCATGGGGGCAGGGGAATTCCTGCAGTTCTGTCCCAGGAGCAGGGCATACCGGAGCTTGGGAGATGATTCTTGGGTGGGCAGGAGAGGGGAAACTGAGGCAGATGTGGGCAGGGCCTGACAGGCAGCCTGGGGAAGTCAGCCCAGAGCATGGGAGAGGCTGCTGCTGCAGGGGCGCTCACCTTCAGGTCCGTGGGGAACTCCTCCTTCTTCACCAGGCCCGTGGCCGCCGCGATGTTCCCTGCCCCTGACATGACAGCGCCTCCCAGCTGGGACGCCTGCTCCTTGGTCTTCTCAGCCACTGGAAGAGACAGGCAGCACTGCTGTGCTCTCACCACTAGCCCTCACTGCCACGCTGTGCCCAGCCAGCCCTGGGGGCTTGGGCCCCTCCCCTCCCCCCACATGCTCAGGCGGGCAGGCTCGCCTCCCCCCAACATGGCCAGGCTGGGCCCAGCCAACCCTTGGGGGGGGGGCTCTGGCACCTGCCCCCACACGCCCTAGGGGCAGAATCGCCCCTCCCCCATGTGGCCAGGCCTGGGCCAGGCGCCTCACAGCTGGATTTCAAGTGTGGCCCATTACATAAGGGGCTTTAGGCCAGTGACATCACCGCCCCGTTTAGCCTGAGC